TAATAATTTATAAATTATTTAAAAAAAAAAAAAAAAATAATTGTGCAAGTTATTTGGTGGGATGTTACATAATTCACTATAAATCGTAAAATTTAAAAATTGCAAATAATTATAATAAATAAAAAAAAAAATTTTAAAGAAAAAGAAAAGGTGTATTAATATATATTTTTCAAATAATAATTACTTTAAAGAATAATAATAATAATAATGAAATTTATAAGATAAGTGAAAGGGTGTTTATCAATGTGAAAAATTTTTTTTTTTTTTTTTTTTCAGGTCATGAAAATTGTACATTTCACCATGATTTAGAATTAGATCATAGGCCTCCAACAAGGGAAGCACTTCTTCCCGACATGGCAAGATCGTATCGTCTTTTGTTGGAAGGTTTGGGTGAAGATCCTGACAGGCAGGGACTATTGAAAACGCCAGAAAGGGCGGCGAAAGCAATGTTATTTTTTACGAAAGGTTACGACCAATGCCTGGAAGGTAAGTGAAAAAATTTTTTTTATTTTTATATATATTTTTTCCAACGGGAGATTTATATCGGGAAATTTTAAAAAAAGAGGAAAATGATTTGGCAAATGATTTTTTTTATTTGCAAAATTTGATCGATTCGTTCTTGATCTTCTTAATAGAAGAAGAAATCTAATTTTGTTACCATGGCAACTGTAACGTAGCAACTCAAATGCTAAATTATATTGCGAATGAATTACATTTATTACCATGTGTAAAAGTCACACAAGACCTGATTTTGTTTTTAATTCAATTTTTTACAAAAAAAAAAAAAAAAAAACAGGAACTTGTTATTGAATGATATCTATACAGGAAAAAAAAAAAAGCAAAATTTATAAAAAATATATTTTTTATTTTAATAATTATTTTATAAATTATACAATCATAAAAAACAAAAAAAAAAAAAAAACAATAATTATTTTGATTTAATTTAAAAAATCAGTATATTTTAGTTTGCATTTTTTTTTTAAAAATAATTTTTTCAAATTTTCAAATTTTTTGTTATTAAAAAAATTAATTTTTCGGTTTTAATATTCTTTGTTCTGTTATATTAATAACAGTAGGTAAAATTAATGATTGAGATTGATCTATTTGCACTGGAAGATTAACTGTTATGGAAGGTAATTGTATTTCTCCTGGAGAAATTTGTTCCAACAGACTAGATTCTATGTTTGAGGCATTCGCTTTCTTGTCTATTAATTCTACATTTGATTTAGGTTTGCTATTGCTAAAAAATACCATTTTATTTATATTTTTATAATTGAATTGATTATTTACCTTTTTGACAACAACATCATCAATTTTATCAGTCGTTTGTGACTCGAGTTGATCTTCTGATACTTGCGTTGCATAATCTTTATTTTGAACTTCATTTTGACAACTATTATTATTATTATTATTATGTAAAACTAAATTTGAAATTTTTTTCTCTTTGGCTTGTTTGTTAGATTTCCTCCATGGATTGTGCATAACGATAGAGTGTTTTCTCAATGTGGAAGATTGGTTAAAACATTTCCCACATTGAGCGCACAAGTACGGCCTTTCATTTGTGTGAGTTATTTTGTGAATTTTTAAATTTCCTATCAAAGCAAATTGTTTGGGACAGGATGAACATTTAAATGGTTTTATTCCCTCGTGAATGTTTAATATGTGATTTT